TAAATGAGTTGATCAGTAAATAAGGAGATGTATATAGTACGTACATTACATTCCTCAGATTGTCAAAGGAAAGTCCAACTTGATGACTTTCATTTTATTTGTGTAACTCTTACATGCAGTACTATAATGTATAATGGAACATACAGTACAGTAGAATCAGAAAATTATAGTAATGTATAAACAAGGTGTACTGTACCAAAAAAGACATTGAGGCTCTATAAACAAGACATACAAAACTATGCAAAAAAAGATGGATTGTAAGTCCTACCGGCAGATCATAAGTCCAAACAGGTCATTAAATGAAAACTATCTACATTATTTTCACTATTACTTATTTTAAAAAGTGTGAAAAGTCAAAGCCCAATGTCTTCAAAAACAAATGTTACCAAATATGTAAAAATTAATAGCAAAACTCTTCCCCAAAATAGAAAACACTTCTCAACTTACCCAGTAAGACCAATATCAAGTATCAAAACCAAACAAGAGCATCAAGAGATCAGTGTCTCTTAGGAATATAAATGCAGAAATCTTCAACACATTATATAAACTGGAATCCAGTGACAAATAAGAAAGATGATATACCATGGCCAAGAGAGATTTATCCCAGGAATGCAAGGTTAGTTTAACAACTAAAGATAAATCAATACACTGTATCAGCAGAAGAAGAGACAAAAACCTATCTAATCCTCTCTATGACACAGGAAAAAAGTGTTTGCCAAAAATCAACATTCTTTCATGATTAAAACACTCAACAAAATAGAAGGAAACGTCACTTGACAAAGGCTTCCATGAAAAACCACAGTTAACATGACTTACTTGTAACAGACTGAATACTCCCCCCTAAAGTTAGGAAGAGGGAAAACATATCTATCTTTCCTACTCTGTTCAACAGGACAGGCAAGACAAGGTCTCAAAAGGCCTTTAATTGGAAAGGAAGAAAAATTAATCTAAGATGACACAATTCTGTAAATAGAATGTCTACTAAAAATACTAGTATAATAAGCAAATTCAGCAAAGGTGTAAGATATAAGGTCCACATACTGAGTCAACTAAATTTCTGTGCACTTTCAGTGAATAATCTGAAAATGAAATTATGAAAACAATTCCATTTACTTTAGAATCAAAAATAATGAAATGAAATAAGCATAAAACATTGAAAAAATAAAAAATTTAAATAAATGGAAAGAGATTCTATCTTAATGGACTGAGAGACAATATTTTTAGGATAGCAATAATCCCTCAATTAATTTGTAACTTTAATACAACCTTTCTCAAAAGTTCAACTTGTGTAGAAATTGACAAGGCGATCCTAAATTTCATGTGGAAAATCAAAGGCCTGGATTAGCTAAAATGATCTGAAAAGGAATAAAAAAGATTCACACTTCTCTGACTTCAAAATTTACCACACAGCTATCGTAATGAGGAAGTACAACACAGGCATAAGAATAACCTCATCGATCAATAGGGGTGGGTGGACTAGAACTGAGAATCCTGAAATCCTCGCATCTACCATGCACTGATTTTTTTTATGAGAGTGACAATGAAGAACAGTCTTTTCAACCTGTGATGCTAGAACAACTTAATAGCTATGTGCAAAAATACAATACTTCACAATATATTTTTCTGAGAAAAATCAACTCAGTGGATCAGATTCTAAAGATCTGAGCTGAAACTATCAAAGGCTTAGAAGAAAACATTGAAATAAAATTTTGTGACATTGATTTTGATATTGAATTGTTGGGTGTGATGCCAAAAGCAGAAGCAACTTACGAAAAAAGTAGAAAAATCAGAATTTCTGAGATGTGGGTGATGAAAATATTCTGCAGTTGATTATGGTGATGATTACACAATTCTGAACAAACTAAAAGCCATTGAATTTTACACTTCAAGTGGGTAAATTTCATGGTATGAGAATCACCTCACTAAAAAGAAAAAAACAAATAGGCACACCCACATTTTAATAGGTCCCTCTGAAAAGATATAGAAATATTTGATGTCATATAAAGATGCTAAACATCCTTGTTATTCAGTAAAGTGGCAAATAAAACCTTAGTAAGATACACTGCATACCAAACATAGCAACAGAATTATGAAGACAGTGTACCAAATGCTTTCTTTATAGGGGTTCCTCCTATTAATGTCTATGACATTGCCACTGGATATGGCATGTACCTCACAATGACACTCTGGTGTTACGTGTTTGTGGTAACCTTGATGTCTTTTACCAGTTACTTACTGTTTATCTTGCAAAATATACAGCATGAATCTTTAAGGAAAAAAATGCTTAATTTATGACTGTCAAGTTTTTATCTGAGACTGGCAGTCCATCTATTCCAAAAGTAGCAGATAGGTTAGGATATTGTTGTAGGATTATTTCTTTCAGTTTGTAGTTACTTTTCCTCAGCCTTTCCATAAATGGAAAATAAAGCACTTCCTGTGTACCAAGCAACAACATTCCTTATATAGTTACTGAAGATTAGAGACTTTATTTGCTCGAGGTAGGATAGCAGTGCAGTTGTTGTGTAATTCAGATCTGTCAATTACAAAGTCTTGTTCTTTTGACTATGTCACATTGCCTCTGGCTGGAAATACACTGAACTTTTTTTACAGTGGATTGTCCCTTTGAGTTTCAGTGATTTGGATTTTTTTTTTTTTTGAGAACCTATATATCATGCAACATAAAGAATTTATTTTTAATTAGCCTCGCATGGTTGCATATGCCTACAGTCCCACCACTCAGGAGGCTGAGGCAGGAGGATTTTGAGTTTGAGCAAGGTCAGCCTGGACTATATAGTGAAAAACTAAAATAATAACAACAAATAATAAGTTAATTTGTATTAAGCTATTAATTAACGATAATTAATAGTACTTATCCCATGCAGGCAACTGTGTTGGATATATTATAGTGGAATGTTGATCCTGACTCAAATTCAGTTGAGCAGTAAAAGTAAGTAGTCATACATATGCAGTACAGCTAGACGTCTTTAATAAGTACAATGGAAAGCACATGAAGGTGTGACCATTTTTGCTGGAATGGCTTTGGAAGGTCGGATGATTAAACATTGAAGGCACTGAGTTTGTCAGTTCATAGATGGGCGCTTATTTCTGTGCTGTGATTGTCTGTGGAAACCACTTATTTACAAATACCAGTATTAAGTTTAAACTACTTAAAAGTAGAAAAAGTCATTGTTAGCTTACAGGAATGCTGTGTTCTTTTACACCTTTTTAATAATTAGCTTTGTGTTCAGATATAATTAAAACTTCCTAGCAAAATGCCAAAGCCTTAGAAGGGAAATGTTTTTTGCTATCACGTTTCTCAATCTACATTGCAAACAGCCAGCTATTAGGGTTCATTAATTCTTTTTCTTCTGGGTTTTGGAATTTAAATTTAAGTAGACAGTGTAGAACATAAGCTTGTGAGTTTATGAAGAGTTTGTTGTGCTCATGTATGAAACTGCAGTAAATTTGATGAGTGAATATGTTTGGAATGCATGCATTTTCTGTCTTAGTTTGTTTTAGTCATTTTCCTTTAGCTGGGGCAAAATACCAAACACTGGTAATTTACAGGAGAAGTTTATTTTGGCTCATGGTTTCAGTCCTTGTTGGCTGGCTCCAAGGCAGAAATAAAATGGCAAAAATGTACCCCAGAGGAAAGGTACTCAGCCCTCTGTCCTGGAGACAAAGAATACACCCTTTCTGGTATATCCCAGTGAGCCACCTCTGACCAGGCCCCCTTCTTAACATTATCCCATGATCCAATCACCTTCCTTCACATGAGACTTAGGGGGGCATTTTAGATTTAAACCATTAAATTGTAACACACTCTATTCAGATTTTTTCAGGAAAAAAGCTTTAAGCTATATTTGTAACTATCTTAGTTGTAAATTATTTCTCACACACAAACGTATGGCAATGCAACAGTGATTAGTCTCTCAAACTTTTTTTGGTAAAACTCAAATCTGTATAATTTTGAATAATTTCTAACATTTATTTTGATAGTTGTTTCCTTTAAAAAATGAGCATTCCATTACCAGTTTTTCCTTAAATGTCTTACTAGAACTAATTGTCAGTATAATTGGTTTCTTTACTTTTTTTCCTCTCAGTACAGGGGATTGAACTTGGGGCTTCTCTACTAATGAGCTATATCCTCAGCCCTTTTTTTTCAGCCCTTTTTATTTTTTATGTTGAGACAGGATCTCTCTGAGTTGCCCTAGCTGGCCTCAAACTTGTAAGCCTTCTGCCTCAGTCTCTTAAATAGCTGGGATTACAGGCATGTACCTATTTTTTAGTTTTTAGTTTTACATTGTTTTCTGGTTTTACTAGCTCGTGCATTTATTTTTTACCGTGTCCATTTTGTTTTCAGTTTCACTATTCCTCTTGGAATAAATACGACAAATTAAAGGAAAATGGGATCTTCTGGTTGGATGTTTTGATGTGTCTGCATTGTACTGTTTTTACTCTGGCACTAAATGATCATAAGAAGGCTGCCTGGTACCTATATGTGTTTTGAAAGTGTGCATAGACAGTTCTGGAAAACAGGAAATCTACTTATAAATCTTCAAAACAGTGATTGGCAACTATCACAAATCACAGACTGGGATTTTGCTTGTGTTTTATTTGTTTTTGTTTTGGTTGTTGTAGTGGCTGATGTTTGGTGTTCCACAGTAGGTTACGTTTCCATTGTACAGTGATGGCAGAGGTTTCCAAAATATACTGTTTGGGAAAATATATTTAAATATATATGCATTTCTATAGTAGATTTAATGGCAATACTGTTTGAAAATTGATTTGTTTGGTTTAGGGTAACCATTATCTTACGAAGTTATATTATTATATGAACCTAGTAGTATATTCTAAATGAATCTATATACTGTATTCTAAGTTATACAAAACATTTATTAAGATCAGTGCCTGTGGTTAATACGAAGTGATTAAAAGGAAGTACTTCCTTTTGTTTATGAATACAAGTCAAAGAAAGAAAAACTATATTTCATTTTTAGATTATATAAATGGTGGAGAACTTTTTACTCATCTTTCTCAAAGAGAGCGTTTCACAGAGCGCGAGGTGCAGATCTATGTTGGAGAGATTGTGCTTGCCCTCGAACATCTGCACAAGGTAAGCTGCTTCACCTCTGGAGTTTCTCTTTCAGGCAGTCTCAGCTGAGGTACTGAGGGAGCTACAGAGCTAATACTTTCGCATGTCACTGTCTTGGTGCAGGTTGTGACAGCAGCCTTCTAGAGTACTCATGCCAGTGTTTTCAGTGGAAACTGAAAAGTCTCCTTGCCTGTTGTAGTTGCCGCGATGCAGATCAAAGTGGTAGAACCTGGCAACTTTCTGGCTTTCATCATGAAAAGACCTAGTGCTTCATTTAGCACAAAGTGTCATTGGAATAAAATCTTTTAATTCCTAAAGTAACCTACAAAATGAAGCCACAAGTCATAATATATATTCATTTAATTGTGACTGACTTCATTACTTCTACCCATGTGTCGTCAGGGAGTTTCCTGATTATGTGAGAGGATAAGAGTTATTTTCACTCTCTCACACTGGCTTTCTTTTCTGCTCATTTTGTCCTTGAAACACTGTCTTATTCCCACTCTGCCTTCTTCCTCCATTGTTTCCACGGAACAATGAAGCAATTGGTTTAAATGCACTTCATGTTTGTGACCCTGTTTGAAGTCAATACAAATCAGTTTAAGGTTTTAAAATGTTATTGCAGGTACTCTTAATCTTGATCAATGAAATTATGAGTTAACTTTTAAAATTTAATAAAGAAGCATTATCACAGAACTAAATAGTTGGCATGTATCGTGGGCTTTTATGTTTTCCTTAGAGACAGAAGGTGCTAAAGTAATTTTTACCAAAGTTACGTGAGACCCTGTGATTTGAGTCTGTATTGCAGCAGTACTGGCACATTATGAAGCCATTCTTTGTTACGTTGTATCCTACCCTAGCTCAGGATAAACATAGTTGAAAGTACTGGTTATAGAGCACAGAAAAAAAGATAAGGGAGTGAGAAGAGGAGGAAGTTTTTGAAGGACCAGAGAGGTCACACACCAGGATAGACACAGCAGATGTAAACGGCTATGAGAAAAAACTCGGGGAAGGCACAAGAAGAGACAGGATCAAAAAGAGAGTAGGTGTAACTCAGAAACAAGACTGCTCAGGTGGAGAGAGGATTCAAAACAGGAATCAGATGAGTGAAGGAGAATGTGTGAGAACGGAGAGCCCACGAGAGCAGGCAGCGGGGTCCAGCTGCAGGGCTGTGGCAAGGCAGGCCGAACAGCAGCCTTAAGTGCTGGAGGGGCTGACGTCGAGGGGCAGTTGTGTGCTGCTTTTGATGCAATTTTCAGGTCAGCGACAAGCTTTATGCTTACACCTATGAGTGTTTTTGCAGAATATAAAATCGTTAATATGCCTTTATATAAGAAACAAGTTGGATCTAGGAATGGGCTGTAAAGACCTTTGAAATTTATAATTAGATGTAATATTTGATAATATTAAAATAATGGTAGAATTCATCATAAATTCCAGAATAAAAGCAAAACACAAAGCCCCAATGAGTAAAGTAGAAAAGTCACTTTTAATTTTTGTGAAGCATTTAATTTTATTCATTCTGTTCATTAAATGAAAATCATGAATATGATTATTAGACAGTAATAAGAGACATACAAGTAGGGAACCTATTTAATACTAGATATAAATGTTCTTGCTGTAAATTGAAAGTGGTCTAGCAAATGAAATAGATTTTAGCTTTCTCAGTAACCCTAAAAAAGATACATATAATACAAAACCAGCAAGATTAATCTTAATGTAGATACTAACCTGCGTTTCAGAAGGAGATGAAAATGGGAGTTTATTTGGAAATAATGAGATAAAATGTACACTTTATTTGTTCCTAAAATTTTTTTCTAAAGAAGTTACTAAGAAGTACTAGTGGTTGTTAGATTTGTGTAATGCTTTAAATCCAAAGTCTATTCAGTATATATCAAGATGTTTTCCTTACTGTCGTTCTTGTACAACCCTGAAATCATGGAGGAAAATTGGCTGGTATTTTCCTTTGGGGTAATTTTTATTTCAACAGAGATTATTAAAAATCAGCTTTTTCATATAGTTAGTGTTGAGAAAAGTAATACTGTTAAGTTTAAAAACATTTAATCCAGGCTAAAATAACTATGAACATGACATAGAAAACTCATATAGATCAAGCACCTTGTAAAGAATTTAAATAAATTTACTTATATAATTGAAGAAATAGTTGGAGTGTTTTCCTATAAAACTTACATGCAAGACAAAATAGACAGACAGTCATAAGCCACATGACATTTGACAGACCACATATACTGCAGTGGTGGCATAAGATTTTAGTGGAGCAGGGGCTGGGGGTTTAGCTCAGCAGCATAAGCGCCTGCCTTGAAAGCAGGCAGTCGTGAGTTAGATTCCCGGTACCGATAAAAAGGAAAAAGACAAAAAAAAAAAAAAAAAAAAGATTTTAATGGAGCTAAAAACTTCCTATCACTTGGGGATGTCAAGCTGTCATAATACTGTATGTTACTCACATGTTTATTGTGATACTGGTATAAATATATCTGTTGCAGTGCCAGTCATATAAAAGTATAGCACATACAATTATGTATAATACAATAATACTTGATAATAAATTACTGTTTCTGGTTTATGTATTTATTATATTATACTTTTGACTTTTAGTGTATACTCATACTTATTTTTAAAATGTGGATTTGACATAAAACAGAATGTCGTGTTAATACCAGCTGCAGCTTCCTACATCTCTGTTTACTGCATAATCATTTTCTCTTGTGCTTGATTTATCTGGTATTTTGTTCATCATAGCCCTAGGAGCACCAGTGTATTATATATGTATAATATATACTTCTATATGTTATATGTACCATATATATGGTATGCGCCCCCCCCATATAGCCTAGATGTATTGTAGGTTCTACTATCTAGGTTTGTGTAAGTATATTCTGTGTTTATGTGATCCCAGAAAAACCTGACAACATACACTCACTACATATCTCTGTCATTATGCATCACATCACTGTATAAATGTTATTTAATTGATTTGTTTTGATTATTTAGAACTAAAGGTAAACTAAAATTAATCTATGATCTTTAATCTTTATTAATTACCTGTTTGACAATGGCATTGTGCTAGACACTGGATGAATGTTTTAAAGGTGGGAAATAATTAGCATATGAGTATATCAAGACAAAAAGGAAATACCTAAAAACTATTAGTCATTGGTAGGCAAGTACAATGTAAGCATAGATGCTATAGGATAAAAAACAAGGGAATGGCCAGCACGAGTCCTGGTTAGTCAGGAAAGGTTCTGAAGCCATTAGGAATTAAAGAACAAAATTGACTAACAAGATACCTGAAGAGCATCAAGAATGAACGTATTTCATGCTCACTCTAGAGAAATAGGAAAAGCCATTAGCCAAAGGGGAGGCCCTGAAGATCTGGTCCAACAAGGATAGACTCTCTTTACAAAAAAAAAAATGAAGGCATGATTGCAGAGGTCCAGGGAACCTAGCAAATAAGCCCCGAGATGGAGAAATTTACATTTGCCTAGCAGTCACTCAGAGCTATAGAATCCTGAAAGAGGAAATGCTGTAAAAAAAAAAAAAAAGATAAATAAGAAAGACTGTCCAAATTTTTTTTGAAAACTATTTTAAAATGTGTATTTGTTTGTTTTCACAGTTGGGAATTATATACCGTGACATTAAGCTTGAGAATATTCTTCTTGATTCTAACGGCCATGTGGTGCTGACAGATTTTGGTCTGAGTAAGGAGTTTGTGGCTGATGAAGTGAGTATTATATTTTAATTTGAAGTCAGTAATAGCAGAACATGAACAAGGGTGAAAATTAGCCGTGAAATAAACATTTAACAGGGCAGTACTATATGAATTAGGAACTTTGGTGCAAATTTGTTCAAAGGAACATTTTGACATGAGCAAATGTAAAGATTTCTAGTTTAATATTATGTGGAACCATCCTATTAAAATTGCAGTGAATCTTTCATGGATACATCAGAATTCTCCAGTTTAGAAACAAAATAACTATGCTCTTAACTGACTCCATAAAATATATAAAATATGACTAAAACTTAAATAATGTTTTAAACTTTTTGGCAGTGTTATGGCTTAGCTGGTAGCCAATAAAGAGCCACAAAACAAAGCACATATCATGAACATTGTAGTTGTAAGGGACATACTATGATGGCCCTTTGAACTCACTTTATAAAAATGTAAGGATCTCCTAATTCTTCAATAATCTTCCTGAGTTTTATACTTAAAGTGCACTAAAATATAGTAGCTAATGTGCAGACTTTAGATAAAGAAGGCTTTATATTTTCAGTATTTAATTATAATTTGTTAATATTACAAATACATTTCATTACATTTTACATATATTAGCTGTAATTAAATATTTATGTCACAATCATAACAAAAGTTATATACACATCATCTTGAGTTCCAAATTAGGCTCAGATTAAACATCCCCAATCTGAAAATCCAAAACCCAAAATATTGTGAGCATTGATATAATGCCCCAAATGAAAACTTCATAGATCACAGTAAAACACACTCATGCTACATGAAGTATATTTAGTATCCTCAAGAGACATGATGCCCTTCTTAGCCCCCTTCACCTGGATGTATTTTTTCACACACACGTAGATTCCCACAAGAAGCCTGCCACTCACAGATGTTAATGAAATGGCTCATATGCAGGCCCTATGTGTCAAGGGCCTCCAAAACAAAACACGAGGCCAAGGCCTTGTAAGCATTATTCACTGTTTATTTGCTTATTCTCTATTGTAAAGATACTTTTGAAAATGCTAAAAGGGGTTGAAGATGCTCTTATGGGTAAGAGTGATAAGAAAAATCAAAAGCAGTTTTGATTACCTCTAGCACAAAAAGTCAAGCTGTTGGAAAAACTGAACATAAGTGTAAGTATGAAATGTCTTACAGAAGACAATGGCTTTGGAATGACCATCATAGATGACCTGAAGAAACAGATGGGTAAACTGTTGAAATTCTGTGCTGAAAATGATGAATAGAAGTTTATGAAAGATAGAAAAATGCTGCATAAAGCCCAAAATGAAGATGTCAATTCTATATTGAAATAGTAGATCCATCAGCGTCACTGGGAACACATGCCACTTAATAATGGGATGATAATCATGAAGCAAAGCTTACTGTGATGAACTAGAAATGGAAGGTAACTGAACATTCAACAGGCCAGTTGCAGAAATTTAAGAAAAGGCACATGAAGTTTTTAAAGATCTATGGTGATAAATCTTCTACTAAAATGAAATGGGGAAGAAATACATTGGCGAGTTTACCAAGGTCATCACTGGGGAAAATATGACAGCAGAACAACACTGATGAGTGTCACCTAGAGAGATGTAAGCTATGGCTGATGAGGTAGCCCCTCCAGGAATTAAGGCTGTCAAAGACAATAATTATCCTGGGATGTGCTACTTCAGCAGGTTTATATAGTGTAAACTTGTGAGATAAGCAAAAGCTTGTGTCTCCACTGTTTAAAGGAATTGATTTCTTATCGGTCTGTTATTATGCTATCAAAAAGACGTGGAATTCCAAGGGCCTCTTTCCAAAATAGTTTGACATTTCATAGCAGCAGCTTATGCTCTTACGTGGAAACTGGACTGAATGAAGACTGCAAGTATTTTTTTTCCTCAATAGCTGCTTTGCTTATGCTCCAGCTGAAGTTCTCATCAAGAATAATACTTACGCATGTACTCCCCCCAAATGTGACTGTTAATTCCATCATGTAACCGGAGCATCCTTAGATCACTGAAGATAAATATAAAAACACTTTCTTGAACAGCTTTCAAGCAGCAGTGAACAGAGGCTGGTTGTGGAAGGTTTTCAGCAGGAGTTTAGCATGTGAAATGCTGTTGCCAGTGCTTAGCACTAAAGATGGAGGCATGTGCTTCCCAGCACAACCTCTGACCTATGGCTGTGTTGGGTGGTGATGATGAACAAAATGATGGCTTTGAAGATTTAGTATGTTAAGTGAGAAAGAAATGATGCATGACATCCTTACATAACCAAAAACTGTCTTTATAACCTGGCTATAAGTGGTAAGAATTAGATATCAAGGAAGTTCTTAATATTGATAATGAGGCTCTACTTGTTCATTGACCAGTGGAGAAATAGTAGAAAAGTTCTGAGTCAGGTGACCATGATAATAATGACAATGAAGGTGTCATTCCTAAACTGAGAAGTACCTGTAGGCAGCATGGTGAAAATATGTGATAGGCTTATGGATGGACCTGAGCAGTGCGTATTCACAACAGAATGAGAAATCATGTCAGTTTATAAAATGAGAGGCTTCTAAGACAAGGACCTTTGTTTTGGAGGCAGATGCTTCTGGAGGATCACATTATCCTGAGAGACCAGTTCCCTGACCCCTCAAATGCTCCTGATGTATCTTCTTACCAAAAAGTAAAATGCAGCATTCAGTAACCTTTAAATCAAGACGCAGCATCACGATGGCGGCCGAAGTTGCTGCTGTTTGTTGTTGGTGGTGTTTAGCAGCTTGCATGGTTGCTTTGCTGGTACCACATGCTGCTTAGTTACTGTGGACACAGGACTTTTCACAGCGGTGATGTCAAGCCATACTTTCTAATGTTAAACAGTAAAATATGTGAGTAAGCATAAGACAATGATTATTTATTAGTTGCATATAAATGTTTAGCAGGGATGACATGATGCCAGACAGCCACAGATTGTCCATGTGGATGGCTGAGGGAGTAACAGCTTTGCTTTCTCATAGTACATTGCATCAAATTTAAGTATTGTGCACACAGTTATTTAAAACACTATATAAGGTTACCTTCAGGCCATGTGTATAAGGTGTGCATAAAACAAAAGTGAATTTCCCACTTAAACTTGGTTCCCATCTCAAGATATTGCATTATGTGCAAATATTCCAAAATCTGAAAAAAGCGAAATCTTAAATACATCTGGTCCTGAGCATTTTGGATAAGAGACGGTCAACCTGTATAATATATTTCTGGTTACCTTTGGGAATATTGCCAAAACAATCCTGAATGTGATAAATCCTGATTTGTATCATGTCTGTATTTATTCAGTAAATATTTACTGATCCCATACCTATACTCTATTAGACAATACAATATACATGAAATAGAAATGACCTCCCCATCATGAAGCAAGGGTTATAACAATAAATTGATAGAAAATTATGGTTATGAAAGAGAGATTTGATGAATTTTAAAGAATTTACTTCCAGGATTGGTTTTTAAAAATTTTACTCCTTTGTAAAAATTTTAGTCATGACTTCAGTAAAATGTAGCAGATGTACATGTTTACTTTTGCATCTTCACTAAACTTCACAAATGTAAAAATAAGGGTAAAATAGGTGTACACTGAAAAAGGAAAGAAGACAGTCACAATCACATGTTGGTAGATGGCAGAGGACATTGTGGTGAGCTATTTGACATCCCTAAAACAACTGAATCCTGAACCAGGAAAGTGAGAAAGCTAAAAGCCGCTGCTTTCAACTCTGGACTCCCCAGAAAGGTTCAGGATCTAGGTGCCAGGTACTCTTCAGAGCAAAGAACAGGGAACACAGGGCCAGAGGATCGCTTGGAAGTCTGTAGGAGAAAGCCATAGTGTGCCATCTCTGCCCCGCGCCCTTTGCCCTTAGGAAGCCTCGCCTTCCTTACCCACATAGAAGACAGAAAAGATCAACTAGATTGGCTTTGAGTACAGGGACAAAGATTACAGCTGAGGATGAGGACACCAGATAGAGAATAGTAAGGAGAGTGAAAAGTGATACCCAGAACTAGCAACTTCGTGATCATCTTCCACCGCCTTCCTCTGAGCACAGTGATGTCCCTCACAGGAGTGCAGAGGATTCCTGACTGAGAAACCAGGATCCAAACATCAGTAGATGCAGTCCGCTCCAGATTTCAGGAGTGAGCCAGCCCACACAGATCTCCCTCCAGAGCAGCCCTCGACTTGACAAGCCCAGTCTGTGCCATAGAAGCATGTTTGTGGTGATGTCAGGATTTTTTCATACTTCAGTATATATAGTTCCTAGTACACTAGTATATTTTTTAGAGCATCTGAGGAGAACACAAGCTTAAAAAGACTGCCAGAGTCCCTGGCGTGTTGAGTGTGGGGCGCTTAAGCACAGAGAGAATCAGTGGTCGCCTTTTTCTTTGTGTGGAACCATTCATTCATTTGCTCACTCACTGCATTACTATTTGTTGAGGGCCTTCTCTGTGCTGGGTATCAGGTGAGGTCTGGTAATGGGACAGTGAAAGGATCACTTAAAGAATATATACAGGCTGATAATTCAGCAATAAGGAGAAGCAGACCTGGGTCCTGGAAAATACCAAAATGGTAGAACTTTTATCATGGTCAAATTTTTCATTTCTGGGACACAATACCCAACACCCACAACTAAAAGGAGAAGAGATTTGTTTTGGCTCATGTGGCAGTCCATAGTTGGCCAGCTGCAAGTTAGGGTGGTACAGCAGAGGTGCAGGGCCAGGAGGATTGCTGCTCGTGCCATGGCACACTGGAAGCAGAGTCAAGGGAGGAGCCAGGATGGGGCTATAACCTCCTGGATCACGCGCTCATGGCCCACCTCTTCCAACCAAGCCCCACCTCCTAATAGCAAGTCAGCTGTGATGCCTGTGTAATCCAGTCACTTTCCAGAGGTTCCCGCTATGATTGCGTAGGTGGGACATTTAGATACAAACCATTATCAGGATATGTAGAGGACACATCTAGACATCAACCGT